CCCGCTCAGCCCACCGGGCTTCACCTGCCAGAGGCAACCGGCTCCGCGAGCCACAGGCGCGGCTGAAAATCGCTCCCTTGGAGGTCAACACAAGGAGTGCTGCAGTCCAGGGTGGCACTTGAGGCAATCATTGAAAAAATCCACCAAAGGGATTAACGCGTTGTTTTCTAGGCAGAACCTCACCCCACCAGGTCTGAAAGCACTGTGCTTTCATTTAGGATTTGTGCCACTTTTAACACTATCGAAGATAATGGGAGAGAAAAGATGGGGAAAAGAAGGGAGATTTATTACTGAAAAATATATGCCTTGCTCTCTCTCACAAAAGGGACCAGCAGCTGTAACCTGAGGAACTGTGACAGAAATGCTGTGCCTTGTGCAGTGCTGCACCTCACATCACAGCACTGAGTTCACTACAGTGGCTGCTCCTTAAATGGAATATTAAATGCTTAAATAGAAATATTAAAGGCTCGATCGATTTATCGGGTAACGAGGTGTTCCTGCCCAAGGTGACTCCTGAGGGACAGTGCTGCAGGAGGTGTCAATCCGGCAGTTCGAGCTGCCTGGACCGTCCCACGGCAGAGTTCCCCAGGCACCAGCCATCAGAGGGCACCAGCACATCCTCACACGCAGCGACCGAACCCCACAGCACTGGCCAACTTGGCAACTTCGCCCAACTTGTTCAGCCCCGCAGGGCCGGAAACCTGTCCCTGTTTCAGGCACACAGAAACTTTCTGCTACTGCCACGTGTGCTGCACCTCCCCACGGAGATACATATCTTCACACGAGCTACCACCCAGTACTCAGGAAACAACCACACACGCTAACCTCACCACAGTTTTACCGCTGCCCCAAATACTCTCTACGACACTACATGCAAAGCTCTAGGAGGCAGAATCTCCCAGGGCTAAAAGATCATAGATTTATATATATATCTAGAGGACAGATTTAACCATTTTGCTGCAATAAAGTAAAATAGATAGGATTATAATAGATCTTAAAGCCATTGCTCCTCCAAAGGATCACCCCTCCTTCCACTCTCACCCCTACAACAAGCTACTAACACAAGCCACAGACAAAATTGCAACTTGCAGACATGTGCACGGAGCAGAATCACACAGACCAGTTTCCAACGACTCAGTAGGGCTCAGCTTACCCACAGGCACAGGCTGTGTACATGGAAATCTGTATTTTCCACTCCATTAGCAGTGCATTGCTCAGTGGAGTGTGAAAACTGATACCTGCGAAAACACCACTAACCCAGACACTCCTACCTCTCATGGCCATAGTGGTGTGGCCACATAGATGACAAAACCATAACTCACTGTCCACTGCAGCACAAGCACCTCAGCACGTGCACAGCTGGTGCTCCACAGGCTCAGGTAACTTGGCCAAGCACCAGGTAAAGCTGCATGCAAACATGAGACAGAAGGACAGAGTCCTCCTCCCTCCTCTTGGCAACCCAAAAATTACATGCCCAATTGAAATCACATTAAGGCCTCAGGGCTACTCAAACCACATCCTTCCCACTATGGGAGGACATTGGTGTCTGCATTCAAGTGGGTTTTCTACACTGATTTTCCTGTGGAGGAGGGACAGTTAAAGAATTATACCACATTTGATAACTTTACTGCTATAAAGCACTCCAAGGCATCTGGAAGTCCAGATGCATTAGTTCACTCCTCTCTCTCTTCCCTCCCTTTTGCCAAAAACAATTATTAACGATGAGGTCCTTGGGATTCTGGTCTACAAATCCCCCACACAGCACTGCACATACATTATATATGTATGAGTGGCCCTTAATACCAACTACATTGCTTCACAGTAGTTCCCAGCGTCTGCCAAAGCTCTGCTAGTCACTTTGACAGCTCAGGACAAGAACTCTCAAGCTGATGCTCAATGCACTGAACCACTCAGAAAATACCCCTTTTACCAAGAAAATTAGCAAGATGGAGGAGCAGGACAGTACCTTAGGCTAAGCCCCATTTACCAGTTCAAACTGCACTGAAAAGAGTGATCATTTCCCAAGTTCTATACTGCACATTCCTGTGCTATCTCCCCAGCCCACACCTCTGTGGGCTCACACATTCCAGGGGCTCCATGCAGCCTCCTCTGCCATCGCTGCATGTCAGCACTCGCTGTCCTGCAAACGCAGTATCCTCCAGCAGGAACGGCCTGTGTGCAGCCCCAGGGCACATTCTTCAGCTTCCCACAGCCCAG